AAAATGTTTTTTGAAAGTGAAGTATGCTTCCGGCGGGGCTCGAACCCGCGACTTTCGACTCATAAGACCAATTGTTGTTGTTTTAATCGTTGTACTGTCCATGAAAATGTTGCAGATACTCGCCGAAAAATTCCAAAGCTAGAATGTAGAAAAAATAGCAGTGGTGCAACGCAGATGAATATCGTGTTACAAAACCAAAAGACTAATCATCATCTTCATTGAAAAAACTAATAACAAGTTCTCAGTCAAGCTTGTTGAAAGGAAGGGAAGAAATGCGAAGCAGAGAAAAGAGGAGAGGAACATAAGGCTTCTTTGGTGTCTGCGAAACCCTAAGAGAAAACACTTAAACCAGGCTAAGATAATGAATGACAAGTAAAGTTGCAGTGGGAGGTTGGTCAAAGCAAATAGTGCGTTTAATAGCCGTGTGCTTGTTTTTCTTTCATAAACATTAAGTAACTAAAACGATAAATTTGTATCGAATAAAAATCAAATTTACAATTATGATCTCATTATGAGAAATATCCCGAGAAATTCCTATATTTCAAAAGAAAAATTTGAGAGATATGTTGATAATATGTCTACTGCTTCTAATTGATAATTTTGGTGAAACATAGTTTGACCCTTTACCCAGTTTTAGAGGAAATATGTAGTCTCTTCTTTTTAATTGTTTTCTGAGTCTTTTTTTTTGTTCATCTAATGGTATTATAGCTCACAATGAGTTCTAAGCAATACTATAAAGATTCAAAGGTTCATAAAATAGAGTCGAATTAGATTCACACAATCAATAATACAATTCTTGGAGGTAAACAAAATTCACAAAAAACATCTTACATCTCCAAAAACAACATAAAACGTTAGCTCTCAAACTCCAAATAGACAAAAGCATCTTCTAACTCTAAAACAAAAGTAAAAATATTTTCCAAGTGTTATTAAACTTGTGCCAAGAGGAGAAGTAGGAAAACCAATAAGACAAATCACAAAACATAGTTAACGATGAACTACGAAATCCGATAATGCAAATATAATTTTTGAATACATAATTTATCTTAGATACATTTATAAAATATGTCATTGTGTACTTATATTGAATATGTGAATTAAAAATTGTACCTAAATTTTTATAAAAATTACATTTAACTATTTTCTGATTAATTTTGCAAGATAAAACAATACTATCTCTTACTCTTAGGAACTTAAGTTTGCTACATTAGAGAGGATCACATGATAT